GAAGGCAGACGCTTAACGACTGAGCCACCCACGCGCCCCTGATTTTATGTTTTTAAAGGTTTTATTTATTTGAGAGAGAGAGCTTCAGACAGAGAGCATGAATGGGGGGGTAGAGGGAGGGGAAGGGAAGTGGACTCCCCGCTGAGCAGGGAGCCCAATATGGGGTTCGATCCCAGGACCCTGGGATCATGACCTGAGCCGAAGGCAGACGCTTAACTGACTGAACCACCCAGGCGCCCCTAAAAATTTTATTAAAGAATTTATTTATTTGACAGCACAAGCAGGGGGAGCGGCAGGCAGAGGGAGAGGGAGAAGCAGGCTCCCCAGTGAGCAGGGAGCCCAATGCTGGACTCGATGCCAGGACCCTGGGTTCATGACCTGAGCCGAAGGTGGATGCTTAACGACTGAGCCCGCAGGCTTCCCCATTTCCCTGCTTCTAACTTTGTCACTGCCCTTTATCAGATAGTAGAGGGTGGGCAGGCAGATAGGTGGAATTCATAGTTTAGATTTGAAAAAAAGTGTTGGTTCAGATACAAAATGATGGAATGTATATGCAGAAATGAACTTTGCAAATCAAGGTGGCTGGATATAACTTTGCAGATCATCCATTGGCAAATGTCTGCTCACAGGCTGGTTTTCCATCCTGCTTCTCCCCCCTAATTCTGTGTGCATTTAGAGAAATCAAAGTTTTTCTGCTGTTGTTTTTATCAACTAAGGTAGATACAATTAGGAAAATAAACAATGCTACTAAAAATAATGTATTCCCGAAACAAATAAAAATGACTGTAGGAATGTCTAGCACTTTGAATTATCCACTTTTTAAGAAATGGCCATTGTCATTGTCAAAGTATTTGTTGAGCCCAGTGTTCTGGTACAGCATCTCTAAAATTGTAGAAAGAAAATAGTTGACTGCCTTTGATCCCTCCACCAGATTGGGTGGAGGGGAAAAGCCCCCAGGCGTTGGACAAAAATCTGTTTATTCCCCACCCTGATTGCTAGAGGGTTCATCCTGCCTCTGCTCATTTGTACCACAGAGTAGTACAGCATCCTGTTCTGAACAGTGACATGTTTGCTAGGGGACTCAGTGATAGGGCAGGAGGGGACCATAAAAGAGAGGAAGCATTTATTTTTTTGCTTTTTTGGACTGAGAGTGAACTTTCAACTGTTTCCAGAGAGAAGGGGGAGGGAGGGTCTCTCTCTCCCTCTCCCCCTTCTTTTCCTCCTGTCCTTCCTGGTGTAGATGTTTCCCAGCATTTCTTGGCTCTCCCTTTTCCTTCTTTGGCCTTTACCCTTTGCATTTGAATTTTCCATGTTTTTAACCCATGTGTGTGGTTCCCACTGGACCAGAGTGTCCCTAAGGGCAAGACTTGCTGGCTTCTTCCTCTGGGTCTCCCCACAGAGCTCTGCATACAGAAGTTATCAAAACCTGCTGTTGACTGGTCTCTTTGTTCTGGTGTGGTATTTTCCACCACAGGCCTACCTATTGCCCAGGAACACAGAGGTAGCTTCCTAATGGTAGATGCCTCCTGTGTGCTGTCTCATAGGAAAATGGGATAAGGGAGACCCAAGTCTGCTTTGCAGAGCTTATCATCTGAAGACTGAGTTAGCATACCCATAAGGAAGGTGGAAAAAAAGGGCACCCCCAAAACCTGGTAGTGAAGAGGCTGGGGTCATTATAGCTGAGTGTGATGAGGAAAGGCCCCTTAGACTCCTGGTGTATGAAACACTGCTGAAGAACATCCCAGCCAGGAGCTGTGACTCTTACCCAAGGGAGCATTTGTTGCATCCTTTCTTTTCTTTGGCCTTGTTTCTTTCTTTGAAGGGGAAATTCTTGCCCATCCCATTCCAATTTGGGGAATGAGATAAAAACAGTGCCAGAGGGGCACCTGGGTGGCTCAGTTGTTAAGCGTCTGCCTTTGGCTCAGGTCATGATCCCAGGGTCCTGGGATTGAGCCCCGCATCGAGCTCCCTGTTCCATGGGGAGTCTGCTTCTCCCTCTCCCACTCCCCCTGCTTGTGTTCCCTCTCTTACTATGTCTCTCTGTCAAATAAATAAATAAAATCTTTAAAAAAAAAAATAGTGCCAGAGATTGGAGGCGTTTAGAACATGCAACTCCTAGTCTCCCGGTCCACAGCTCCTGCTCATTCCTCTCTGGGAAGGACCTGGTCTACTTTGAAGTCAGGCTGAAAGTTGGAGCTGTGGCTCAAACAAGTCAGAACTTCCTCTTAAGCTATGGACAGGTCTTAGGGCTGCATTGGGTAGAGGTACATCCCTTATAGGTGTTCTCCAAGGGGTAATTCATACCTTGTCTCTGAAGAATCTCCAGGGAAC